AAATAATTTTAGACAAAAGGGATCATTAAAAATGAAAGTGCTGCATTCAGTTTGTATCCACCGTTAATGCTGTACTGATTGTGCAGCTTTGTTGCTCAAATCTAAAAGCAGAATCAGGTCTAATACAAAACACCTCGAAACTTACTACCCAACCCTGTGGTGAAATCCGATTTTTTGCTAAACCTTGAAGTTAGTTAACAACATCTCAGTCGTTGCTTTTTATTTCTGCTTTTTTACTTCCTTCAAAGTCTGATTTGGACACGGCTGCAAGTGAAATCCTTCAGCTAATGTTGCGAAAAACAGAGGTTTCCTCACAGAAAGAAAGAAAACTAAACCTTTTTTTTTTTTATCACCGGCAGGCAGTCTGAACGAAAACATGAATCATATTTCTTAATGTTTAAGGTCTTAGACACATCCAAAGATTTGCATGCACTGTCAGTCACTAATCTCAGTTCATTAACAGTAATGTGTTTTGATGTGCAGGAAATGTTCTTATTTCGAGTCAAGCTTTGCATTACCACATCAAAGCAAGCATTAAACTGTCTCATAACAAAAATATAGAGTCACCGGGCTCTTTGTGAGGAACACCTGATCAACTGCTCATCGATGCAACTCATTTAGGTATGCAGAAATGGTCAAGATCACCTGCTGACCGTTGAAATGGGTAAGAATGGTGATTTAAGTGAGTTGGAATGTGGCTGCTTCAAGTTGAAGCAACAGGAGATTCTCATCATAGACGTGTGGCCGACAAATCTTTCACATCAGTATGGACCCAAATCTCTGAGGAGTGTTTTAGCTGCTTTAGCTGTCAGACAGATGGCCTCACATTTGACTCTAGAGTACAGAGAGTCAAGAGTTCATGCCCTGGTAGACGGGGCTGTGGCTCCCCACACCCTCTAACAGATCATTACATGTAGGAACCTTTTAAAAACAAGCGCGTTCATGCATGTTCATGCTCACAGGTGTACACACGGGTGCTCACACACAAACTACACCCTTTTTGGCTCCTATCTTAAAGCACATTGTGCACTGTCGGTCTTACGTGCTACACAACAATGTTTAACATTTAGTATTTCCTGCTATAGTCCCATAGATCATCATGATGTTGTTTATTCTATTGCTCTAGTCTTCTTCTGCTTGTTTTCTTTTTTTCTCAACAGGTGATCCAGGAAAAGA